CAGTGCCCCCACCCACTGCAGCACCCCGGCGATCGTATGAATGTGTTGCCGAAGCGTATAAGCCATCAACCCACACGGTACTTTTCATAGCATTAAGAAGCTGCACGTCCACTGTAGAGGCCCTCGTTCCTATGCCCACTCGGTGCAGGCTTTGCGATGCAGGATGCAGCCACGGGATCGTGGCTGGATGGCCGCCTGGCCCGCCAGCGAAGGAGCACCTGCAGCCTGCAGACCTCATCGTTCGGACGTTTCCCCAGCCAAGAATGGCCTCCCTGCCATTTCCTCCCAGGGGTTCCAGTCCTGCTAGCGCTCAAACTCCTGAGCTCCTCGCCCAAACGATTCTACGATTCCGAGCAGTTAATTTAATCCTCAAACACTTTGGGAACTCCTAACTGCAGGTTTTTCTCTTTTGTGTGCATGGAGAAGGGAGTGAGTGGGCAGCAAAGCCTCTGGCAACACAGCCTCCCTGACAAGCACACAACCCGAACGAGCCACAATGAAGAGCAGGGCAGCCCGCTGACGGGGAGAAAGCTCACTGACCCAAGGTCAGGGGAGGCGCTGGGCTCGGCACTGACGCCAAGCGCGCAGCAGGGGGAGCCAAAGTCTCTCCCCGGGCACTGGAGAAGTCCAAGCAGCCGGTGTGCAACTGCGAGGCGAGTGGGGTCAGCCCCGTGCATGGGTCCAGCTTGCCCCGACAACGACCAACTCCTGCCTACTCTTTGCTCAGGTTCCCTCCTTCAGCTCCGAAGGGGCACGTCTGACGCACACAGTGGTGCACTCCCGGAAACTTCCTGCCAGCGTGGCCTGCTGTCACGGTCGCCACTGGCCAGACGTAAAACCAAAGTCACGGTACGGTCCCTCAGTGGCACGTCTGCCCGCTCCAGCACAGGGAGGGCACCAGGGGGCTGGGGGAGCGAGGCTGGGCAGAGCGCAGGGGGCCGGCTGAGGCCCGTGGCTCACTTCTACAAAGCTGGAGAGCGCCCAGGAGAGCTTCGGGGTGGGCGGAACCGAGGGCCTCCGCTGCAGAGCCCACTGCCCGCCACCACCTTCTTCCCTCGGCAGTTTTCCCCCTGGACAAGCCAGGCCCCCACGGCAGCCACCGTGTGACCAGCCACATTCTGGAGGGGCTCTCAGTGCGCCGGCCACTGGTCCAAAAAGGCCGGGGACTCCAGCACAGAAGGGCGAAAGGCCATGCCGGCTGGAGCCGTAACTCCTCCCAGCCCAGGTAAATTCAGGCAACAAGGAACAGCAACGATGCGGGCAACATCCCTCTCCTGACTGAATGCATGAACGGCGTTCTGATCTAACTTTCTAAGAAATCCTCAGCACGGAGGCTCATTATGCATACAACAATGTATTCCAACACCTGTTTTAGGAATGGAGTCTCCCGTCCCCTTCAGATTGGAAGGGGCACCTGCTCTGCTAGCTACTTCTTCTGGGACAGCTGAAAGGGCGTGCCAGCCCCCTTCTTTCAGCCCCGGGGCCAAATTCCATTTCACAGGAGCTTTTGAGGGCCAACATACCCAAGACAGTGCATTTCAGCTTATCATAGAAGAGTTGGAGGGGGCCATGAAGGCCATCGGGTTCAACCCCCTGCTGTTGCAGGACACCAAGTCACACCATCCCACCCAGGTGACTGTCCAGCTTCTTTCTGGAATAAGGACTTGAGCTTCCCAGGAGGCAGGGGAAGGCTGCACCGAAAGCAGGAAACCACCAGAGGATCAGTGGTTGGAGCAGGGGGATATGGCCTTTTGGGGCAACTCCGGGGGTGGAGAAATGTGGGCCGCTGAAGGGCTGCTTCGGACTGGCATCCTGGTCGCTGCACTAGACTGAAGTGGAAGGGGAGCCCACGTGCGTCGTGAAGGTGCAGGTCTTGTGGCTGAGCCCAAGGGTGGGCCAGGGCCTCAGAGGGACGTGCATGCAGCCCCAGCACCCCTTTCTGCTGCAGTCCAGCTGGCCTGAGGGCAGCAGGCTCTTTCTTCTGCCTCCCTTACTCTGCCTCACGGGAACTCTCCAAGCTACTCCGGGAGTAAAGAACTGTCTTTCCTAGCCAGCTGCCCTGCAGGCACTGGGGCTGCAACTCCCACACACCCGGAGGGTTCAGGGTTGGGAAGGCTCTGTTGGCCATGCTGGGAGGGAGGGTGCTAAAAGAACGTCCGACTTTTGTCCTGGTCAAGCAGGATTCGCCACAGATGCTGAGCCCAGAGGGAGCGCCTCCCAACAAGGCAGGAAGCAGGCCTCCAAGGAGCAGGTGCTACCATTTCCCACAATTAGTGATGACTGAGAAACTCACATCCGCAAGGGTTTGTTTTTCATTTTTTAGAAACAAATTACTCAGTTTGCTGCCCCCCAGATCTGAACACAATTTGTGGCTGGAAATCTGCATGCCGCTAAAACAAAATCCACATCCATTGATACGCACACGCTCGGCAACCACGCACACGCCTTTCTAAAATGTACCCAAAACTGGACAGGTTTGAAAAATGGGCACAAAAACACACAGATATAAAAGTGTTAGAGGTGGGTAAGTTTGTACAAAACCAGGATGGAATAAATACGGCAAAGGGAAACCATAGGATCTCAGTGGCAGCATACCTGACAGACTTGTCCACCCCTAACCACAATACTCAGCTTGCATCAGAATGCCAGCTTAGGAAGATCGCTCAGTCTGAGCCGGGGGTGTCCTCCTGCAATCCCACATCCTTGCACTCAGACCTCCCAGCTTGAAACACGCACACAGCTTGTTAAACTATGTCAGCACAGCAGCTTTTCTGAAATACACTGCAGAACTGGAAAACTCCAAGGTTCTCTCATCCAACCACCAGCCCAGTGCAAATATTCTCTATGGGTGGGATAACCCATCACTTCTCAAGGTAGGTTGTTGTGCTCCTAGAAAGCTCTCACCAAAGGAGGTCCATTAGCCAAAATCCACTTCCCTGCAACTCCCATCCACTGGCTGTGCTCCTGAGCTCAGCAACAACATAGAACAACCACAGTTCATATGCTGCTTTTAAAGAAACATCCTATTCCCCATCATCCTTTTAGAAAGATCCAGGTCAGGAATTTGCTTGCAAGCCAAAGGGCACAGATAAAACCTACACAACATTGCCTGATAGCTAAGAGAAAGAAAACAATGGAGCAATTAAACTATTACAAGGAAAGCTGAACTAAAATGCATCTAGGCACTTGACTCCAAAAAAAGCCCTCCGAACACAAAACAAGCCAACCAAGACACCCACATTTACATCTCTTTACATTCCTGGCTGATTGCTCCCTTCCCCTTTCTTTCCTTATGGAAAGCACCACTGAAAAAAGTATGACCAGGCCCTTCCAATTGAATTTCCCTCTCTGGGGAGCGCTGGGCCCCATGGAAATTTTCATGGGGTTTTTCTTTGGCTTTCAGGTGGATGGCAAAGAGCCTGTTCTCCCACTGTGCAGTGCAATGCACACACACACAGAGAAGGCAGCTCCGTCCCCCTTGCAAGTACCTGCGGGATTGGGGTACGATCTGTGGGTACTTGCAGAATTAGATCCAGGGCAGTTAAGCAGCCAAGCCGGGAGCCACTGCATATCAATTTACTCAGAGCTGCCCAGCATCTGATAGCGAGGGGAGCCCTGGTGGTGGCCACTGTGGGTTGCATTCATTCCTACAGCATCTTCCCTCCTACACCTGCCTGTTCCTCTCTCAGCCTTCGCCTCTGGCCTGCCATACCTTGCCAGGTATTTGGCCCTCACCTGCTGCTGCCCCTCTGTTTTGCTGGGCTGTGGCAAGCTCTCCTTGGTCCTGGGGTTCCAACAGAGGACGCCTGCCTCTTGCGCCCTGGAGCCAATACTCTGCATGCTCTGCCAGCCCCTGAGGGCTGGGGTGGCTTTGTGCCACAAGTCACCCTTCTGAGTGTGCTGTTTCAGGGCTGCCCAGCCCTCCAGCGACCCTGGCACCTGGGCCCACTGCCGTAAGGCACCATGCAAAAATCACAGAGCCAGAAGGGACCGTGCAGCCCTCTGCTCAGAGCAAGATCTCGTTTCTGCTCTCCCCAGGGAGATTCGCCTGGTGCCTTCCTTACTTTCTGTTCCGTGCCAGGTGCAGACCTTCCTCTTTTAAAAAATTAAAAACAAACACCACAGAACTTTGTTTTGTATTTTTTGCTTGTATTTTATTCTTATTTTTAAATGTGTCACTGGTTTTTATTTGCACTTTTATCTTATGGTTGTGAGCCGCCCAGAGGTGCTGTGGCACAATTGGGCGGCATATAAATGTTTGAAATAAATAAATAAATAAAATACATACTTTAAGCCGTGCAAAATAAGCGGGCTCTCCGGTCTCTGCTTAAATACCTCTGGGGATGGAGAGCCCACCAACAGAAGATGGTTCCACTGTCAGCCTGTTCTGAGCATGAAGACTTTTTTCCTGATGCTGAATGGAAATATACCTTCCTGCAACTTAACTGAGGGTTGGGTTTCGCTGGGGGGAACGTCCTGCAGCTCAGGGCCTTCCCCAGCCTACCCTGCAGGGGAGCAGCTCAGACCCACACGCAGGGATGGGCAGCAAATCCATTTGGGGCTGGGGAGGCGTCAGATTCCCAGGCCGAGCTCCGGGGCTCCATCCTGCTTTGCTGTGCCCTAAGGCCTGGTTCCCAGCAAGCGCCCCCAGCTGCACAGGGCGCTGTCCAGGAACCCAGTCTCCTCCACAACCGGTTCTGCTCCTGGTGCTCGTACCGGGCAGGGAAGGCGCCTGGCACCGGAACGGGCAGTTGGCACAGCTGCCTGCTGCAGCCCCTGCACATCCTGCCGCTGGTGGGGAGGCTGCCTGTTGCGGAACCGGGTCCCCACGAGCGTTTGCGGCTTTCCTCCTAGCCCAGCTCCCTTCGCAGGACCAGGCCAAGCGACGGCAGCTCCCAGAGGGACGCATTCCAAAGCGGTCGCCCCAGTGCTATGCACCGCTTTGCCACTCCCTCGATGACCCTGGCCGAAGCCCCGTCGGCCCTCCGCCTCCCACTTACCTGGACAGTCTGTCGGTCAGGGATCCCGCCGTACACGGAGACCTGGGGCCCGGCCTGGCGCCCGTTGCTGCTGCTGATGGTGGTGGTGGTGGCCGTGGTGGAGGCCGTGGCACTGGCGGTGCTGATCGGAGGGGGAGCTTGCAGCTGTTCGTTCTCCATGGTAACCATCCAGGGTACCGAACGGTCCACAGAGGATGGGCGACGGCCAAGGTAACAGAGAGGGGCAACACCTGTGAGGAGACAGAAGCAGAGCCCCCACGGGCTTCAGACCTGGGGGCAAGTCCCAACGGGTGGCCAGCCCCCCAGGCTGGCTGGCTGGCTAATGGGGCATGGGCACGGCACCCTCAGAGAGCAGAAAACCGGCCCCAGAGGTTGGGCAGCCTTGGTTGGCCGGACACACGGGAAGAGACCCCTCCTCCCACCACACCAACAGCCGGTCAACTCACTTCTGAGACAGACCACCATCCCCCCACCCGCGTGCCTTGCACAGCTGTTGCTCTACAAGCCCCATCATCCTGAGTCAGCCAGGAACATCACCCATCATGCAGAAGGTGTCGTGACCAATCAAGTTATGGCCTGATAATAAATTGGATTATGTGATTCCAAAATCAGAGTAAAGGAGTGCAGCTTATCTGGGGGAAGAACATGAAAAAACACAAGGATTGATGTTTTAAAAATATTTTAAAACAACAGAACTCCCTGCACACACATTTTCTTTGCATTCATTGTATAAAGCAGGAGTCCTCAAATTTTTTAAACGGGGGGCCAGTCCACTGTCCCTCAGACTGTTGAGGGGCCGGACTATAGTTTTTTAAAAAATGAATGAATTCCTATGCACACTGCACATTAAAAATAATTAAAATTAAAATTAATTTAAAATAATTTAAAATAAAATTAAAATTAATTAAAATTAAAGTCCATATTCAAGGGACGTAGCTACAATGTCCGCGATCGTGCTGGGGTGGGCAGGGGGAAGGTGGGCACGATAGCGGCCACCTCCCCCCTCCCCGAGCATGGCTGTGATCGTGCCCGTCTTCCCCGCACGAGTGCCACCGCGACTGCAGTCGCCTCCTCCCTGTCCCAGCACGACTGTGCAGGGAAGGTGGGCGCGATCGCGGCCATCTCCCCTCCCAAGCACAACCACGATTGCGCCCGTCTCCTCTGCACAAGCACGACCGCGGCCATCTCCCCACTGAGTCGCCTGCACCGGCTCAGCGCTTTTGGACTCGCTGGGAGATTGTTTTCTCCGAGTGAGTCCAAAACCTTTGAGGCGGGCCAGATAAATGGCATGGCGGGCCGGATCCGGCCTATGGGCCATAGTCTGAGGACCCACGGTATAAAGCAATGAAAATTAGGAACAAGAAAGACAGACAGACAGAATCCCTGCATAAGCCAGATGATCACAGACATGTGGGGGACATGAATGATTTCAACCTCCTTTCCTGCCACATGGAAGGTAACCCGCTGCACCATGAGCAGGTTCCAGAGATGTTCAGAGCTTCTGCCCTGCAGGTAGGTGCCGAGTCTTGGAAGGTGAGGACAGATGTAGTGGCTGAGAAGCAGGGGGGACCTGACAGTGCTTCAGCTCTGGGGGGGGATGGACCCGTCTTTTAAAGAAGCCGACACCTTTCCAACCTTTGCAAGGAGGACATGCAAATTCGGTTCACCTTCCCTGCTCCGCTGGGTGAAACTCCGGGTGCAATGAGCACCTTTCTAAAACGACTCTCTTCCCTCTGTGAAGAGGCAGCCCATCAGCGGCTAAGCAGAGGCACCGTGAGGTTGCTGACATTTGCCAGCGATGCAAAAAGCGGGGCAAGCCCTCCCCACACGCCAGTCTCACAACACTGGAATGCTGGATCACCCGCTTGGAATCCCTGGGAGGGCGTTCACACAACGGGTGCGGGCCGCCAAACTACACTGCTTGCTGCCCAACAGCCCACTAAAGTGCCAAAACCACCCTCCAGCCACATTCCAGTGGCAGGCAGAACTACAAGTATTTGAGGCAGGTTGGGCCTCGAATACCTGTGGCACAATTTGGCTTGAGGGCTTCTTGCAATCTGAGCCTTCGGAGATGTGTTTCAGCCTTTAGAAAAGTGGAAAATGCCATTCAAAAGCGAGGGAACCAGCAAACCACTGGGACCCCAGACACGGGTTGTTATTGAACCACGGATTATTGGAATGTCTGAACCAAGCTATTCTAGCAAGCCATGGTTTATTAACTACAAACAATCCATGGTTTGTTCACGGGTTGTGAACTGTGAATTGTTATCACAGCTAGTTTCACACAACACCCATATTTCAATAACAACCCACGTTCATCCCACACCCAACCCCTCCGTGTGGGTTATTGTGTTATTTGAATGCAGTGACCAGCCCAAGGTTATCCACATCCAAGGTTACTCATCCTTCAGACCAAGCTACCTTGCAAGGTTGTTGTGAGGATAAAAAGGTGAGGTTTTTGCATTGTAGCCCCTTCTGACTCACTATGTTTCTATGTTTTGAATCCCACTTTGAACTCCAGGAAGGCAAGTTAAACTTATGAGTATATGTAATAAATAAAGATTGCTCTGAGAGTTAATTCCCACTGGATCCAACAGATTCCAGATCTTACTCACGTACCTTTTGCTTCAATACTGACAGGGGTTTATTTAACTGCTACACCACCACAAAGTTGCATTCTGTGGTCAAGACGGGAGTCTGTATGCCTCACTGGGGTCATTTAGACTTCACTTACTGCAGGCACACCATAAACTATTTCCCTCGCATTTAATTTAACGGGGATTTGAATGACCCCACTAGCTGGTAACAGAGCCCTGAAACACTCTCACAAAACCAGCGAGTGTTTGCATTACAGGAAAATGTACAGGGTGTCGAGGAAATGGTACAGGCCAGCACACAACCTCTGGGGGTCAGTGATGACCCTTAACGCAGAAGAACAAGCACCAGGGAAGTTGCCCTGGCAGCCAGCAAGAGTGTGCAGACAGATGTGGCAGGTAGTCAGGTACAGACCTGACAAAGCCCCCATTACCAAGCGCATAATTCAGCAGCACTCGCTGCGGTGAACTGCATGAATGCATAAACATGCACAAACCCCTTGGTGACCATGCGGGACAAGAGTGGCAAGCTTTCTGGCACCCCCCCCCTCAGGATTTTGCAAAGTATTTCATGGGAATATTTTGTCCTACATAGAGAAGAGCAAGTCCAGTTAATTTTTAGCAGCTCAAGTTTCCGCAGGAGCTGCACATCTATTTGTCGACACGTCATGACCATCATTCATTTGCCGCCTGGAAGGGAAAAGGACCAGCATCTTACGTAAAATGCCTTGGATGAAGACCCGAAAGAGATTCTCACCCCTAAGGAAGCCTTGCGTTCCAAGCACAACTGCACAATTTTAACTGTGCATCCAGTCTCCATGGGTGACTAAGAAATCTCCAAATGAGCGAGCAAGTTGGCATTGAGATAACGCTCTCGATCCACCAAAGAGGGGTGCTGCAGATGGAAAACTTCCTTCCCCACACCCAAGCAGCCCCCAGAACCACAAGGCCACCAAACTAAAACCTGGCCAGTAGCTTTTTTTTTTTTTGGGGGGGGGGGGAATTTTCAAGGGAGTACATGAGTCTTTTACTGCAAGATCAGCCTAAAAAGAGAAGCCACATCCCTCCAGCTATTATTTATTATTTATTTTATTTATTTATTAAAACATTTCTATGCCGCCCCATTCGCCGAAGCCTCGAGGCGGCTCACGACTATTCTTTCCATCATTCTTCGCCAACCTGGCCCACTGCCAGAGATTGCAGTCCAACCCTATATTGGACAAGGCTGCCCTAGCCCAGAATCCAGTTTCCAACAATGGACAGCTATATGCTGCCTCGAAGTTCAAAGGAAAGGAACGGTCCTCCCTCATTGGACCTGTCCACCGAAAACGTTCAGAGGTAGACCAAGCCAGCATAATGAGGGTCTGTTCAACAACAGACCGCTTCGTAAGCACAGCCTTGCTGGATCAGCCCCTCGTGTGACAGCAAAAGGCCCCCAGGCAGCTTGCGAGCGCAAGTGCCAGGTCCATTTCAGGTGGCGCTGCCTGCTCCAGGGGGCAGCCCTTACCTGGGGCCTCTGGATGCTCAAAGCTCCTTCGGTGAGAGGAGCCAGGAGCTTTTGCACCGCAATGCTCTGGGGGCAGGAGGGGGGACTTATCTAGCAGCTATTACGCTGAAGGGGCTGATGGGAGTTGGTGCTGTAGCACACCTGCAGGCCACCAGGCTGGAGAGTGCCGAAGAGGGAAGACAAGGTAGCCATAACATTCTTATTTTCAGCACATTCCCGTTCCTGTATCGCCTTTTGTTCCTAAACCTTAAAGCCTCAGCGGACTGGCTCCCTCCGCTTCCTTACTGGCATGGGTGGCCATTACATGCCATGTTCAAGGCCTTTAAAAATAACACCCTAAGACAGCCCCTTAAGAGGGAATCCTACGGGAACCAATATAGTATTGCTGGCATACATAAGCCAAGCAACTTTTCCCCTGCAGTGCCAGACGAGAATCCTCCTCCGGCCTGAAGTCCCAAACTAAACAGGCCCTGCTTGACCTCAAACCTTCGGCTACCTGAATTGCGGTTCTCGGAGATCTTGAGGACTAGGGACTTGTTTTGTCCGATTAGGAATGCTGACCTCCCCAAGAAGCTATTTTTTACACAGCTCCGTCAGCAAGGGCTTGCTCACATGCATGCATACGTCCTCTCACCATGGGCCACTTTTCCCCAAAGGAAAACGGCACGTGACATTCCAGCACCGTTCCACTGTCAAAGTCCACCGGGACATGCTTTTCACCTACCTCCACTACATCCACATTTTGCAGAGAGGGGCTCTTTGCAGTGCGAGCCAGAAGCCACACACAGTCCTCAAGGCGCCGGCGGGGCCCCGCTCCATGCTGCCATCCTCTCGGCTCCGCACTCCATCCCTCAAGCGTGTGTGTGGCCAGACGCACACAAAAGCATCCTCTTCACAGGCTGCCTCTGGAAGGACACCCCCTGGTACTCTGGCCGTGGGGCAAGGCACAGGTTAGAAGGCCTCAGCCCGAGAGGCGCGCCCGCGTGCGGCTGCCCACGGTCGGAAGCGCGCTGTGCGCTCTCCGCTCAGGAGGTGCCATTCGCGGGAAAGGAGGTTCCGCGCATACATGCTCATCCGGCTGATCTGTCTTTGTTTCACTCCCTCC